ACAGACAGACAGACAGACAGGTGGACTAGGATTGCATGTACTGTTAATTTAATGATTGATTTCTAGAGATTTATTGAACGAGATTCGTTATGTTTAGACAGATATTGTTCAGTCTAGCTCATCCCCATTTAGGCAGCCCATGGAGGGGTACCATCCATACACGCATAATAACGATGATGATAATAATAATAATAATAATAATAATAATAATAATATATTTGGATATCAGTAGAAACGAGCAAAAAACACTCGTCTGATGAGTGACAGTAAAGCGAGAACTAAAATATGAAGCTGAAGGCTCTTTAAAGTGTCAAGTAGTTGCTGGTTTTCTAAACGTTTTGGGCTTGGCCCTTCTTCAGCAGATGAAAAGTCGATAATGTTATTATCAAAGAGGCATAAAAAATGGTGAAAGTATTTCATTAAACTCCGGACCCATGCAGCGGTCTGATTTCGAGAAGTATTGAACGGGACATACTGCCCGCGTTAGATCAAGGCAATGCTAATTGCTTACCTGTGATGTTTGGAATAGTGACAGTGTCTTACTATTGAGAAAACCTAGCAATAGTGCTAATTGTTTATGCCAGGGAAACCGGCTTGAACAAATTCTTGGCGCAAAATTCAGGCAGTAATTGACATGTAAATTCTGCCGTTCACAGAAAAACACGGGCGTTCAGTCCAAAACTCTGCTCACTCCAGAATGATATCACAATAGGAAGTTGGCGTTGGGACAACTTCTGTACACTGTTACACAAACCGGCTAATGTAATGATATTACATTATATTACAATATCCAACTGGCAATCTTGACAAGATTCATTTTCTATGGGTGACTAGTCCCACTGATACGGTATACCTCTGCCTCTGAAGTAGCAAATGTTTAGGCTATGGATCAATCGAGCTGTAGACTAAGCCAATGGGAACAAATTCATGTCAATGATAAACAATAGCCTGAAAATTAACCTAGATGAATTTTTCCAGTTGTGCGGTAGCTGATGCTGAGGACTTTGACTATCTACCAACAAACAACAAAGCCGTACGGTTCAAATTCACCATTGGCCAGTTGTCCGGTTCTGAAAATCAAGTTCTCTACCTTCACTGTAAGATGACAACGTGCCAGAGGGACGAGGTACTGAAGATGAGGAAGTTCAACTGTCGCACCCAAAGTCAGTACTGTCCACACCAAAAAGACAGTGACATAACAATAGGGCCCTTTATACAGGTGCAGCTAGTTGAACTGCGACAGACCAGAAAGACTCTGAAAATCAAGAACAGTGAGTATGAGAAATTGTGTGGACTGGAGAGATACGCTTCATGCCGAATTGACGTGGCTATTTTAAAAAATTTAAGAAATTTCTTACCTTTTCAAGTTAAGGTTTTCACTGAAAAAACATTATATACTACCAGGAGTTTCCTTCTCCTTAATCCCGAATATCTTGTGCAAACTGTCCATGGAGTTATGTAGGCGAGACTGGCCGATGCTTTTAAACTAGAACAAAAGAATACACTAGGAATATGAAGTCTTGTCTGAGACGTTCCAACATCGCTAAACATGCTTGATCTTCAAATCACTCTATTGACTGTAAAATATTCTCACAGGACAAGGGTTATCTCTGTATGGCACACCACTCCTAGTCGATAAGTCATGCAGATAACAATTCAAGACCGCTCTCCAATCAGTACTCTATTCTTTTCAAAAAGAACAATTAGTTTATTGACACTTGTTTTTCCATTTTAATTTTTGTATATATTTGCAGTGGCGGATCCAGACTTTGAGCTAAGGGGGGTGCCCGGTTTTGTTTCACTTGCCCCCGCCGGCTTTTCTTCCTTCTGTCATTTCTTCTTTTTTTACCCAAAATAAGGGGGGGGGGCTGCGCCCCTCCCCTAGATCCGCCACTGATTTGTAGTTGTCATTTTGTTTTCCATTTTTATCCATCGATGGCTGTAGTGTTAGGGGGATTTTGATTAAATAACTTAGGAATTATAAAAGCGATCTTTAGCGTTTTGAAAAGAGTTTTCTTTTGTTTTGATTAGCTTTAGGCAAGCTTGTTCAAAAAGAAATTACTCAGTGTTTGCTTAAGATGAATATGTAATCGCGTTAAAAAAGTGCCTATTCAAGTTAATTGTAGTTCACGCTGTTCAAACAAACATTTTACAAAAAGTCGGTAAACTTTAATCTTTGCGTAGGTAAATTGATGTAAGTTTCCTGTACAGCTTTGCAGGCTGAACAAGCTGCCTGTACACAGCTTTCAAGGCTGAAAATACAAATTTAAGCTGCCCTAACACAGCTTTTTAGGCTGAGACTACAAATAGCAGGTGTATATGCGAAACTAGCTTTGTTAAGGTCGCCATTCGTCAGCTGAATTTATCTAGGCTTCAAGCTGGCTTTACTCATCATGCAGCTGACTTTATTCAGCCTTCTTTCAATTGTACCTAGGATGATGCAATCTTGTTTCTCACTAGCAGTAGTGCTCTATCATTGTAATACGATTTACATCTACGATTTACGTCGAGGTTGAAGAGAGAACAATAAACGCGTGAAGTTCAAGTTCTCTGAGTGTCCTTATTTCCAGTTGTAGCAGATCCGACGGTACTTTGGAACCCATGACAAGTTCCTCTTCCGCAGCAAGCGAGTTGCTCTGAGCTAATTCCCGAGTCAAGTTGATTTCATAGAGTCAAGCACACAAGTTTCCAGCCAGTTAGGCCCCTCAACGCCCGTCTTTCCCAGTTTAGAGTTCAGAGCGGAAAAAACTCGTTGTCACAGTAGTCTGACAGCCGAAAGCTCCAAAGTTTTAACTTTATATAGCCAGTGAACTTTTTTATAAATCTAAAAAAAAAACAAAAATTAGAAAAAAAGATAAAATGTATGCCTTGTTAATTCCTATAAACGAACAGATATTTCCTTTCTCCCCAGCTGACACACTCTGTTACCACCAGTCCATGAAAATGTACACGATAACTCTTTTTCGATTTTTAAGTAAAAAAGAGCATGGTAACTTTAAAAATATATCACGTTATGCTCTTTTCGTGTACATTTCGGGTAAGGTCGAGCTATGACGTCACATACAGTGGCAACGTTGTCACGATTCAGATCTATGAATGCGTGGTCGATCGGTTGAGATTCGACTGTAGTTTCTTCAACACAAAGTTCAAATATGTCCAAGTGTTTGATTTTCACGTGCATTGTGCTGTCAAGTTGGACAGGTAATTCTTTAATTTACTGACTCTTTTAAAGGTTTCAATAGCTTTTCTCCAAGCCAAAACTTAGGTGCCAGTGCGGGATCTTTATGTCACAACTGCACGCAAATGAGACTTAAGTTAATACTCTCAGATAATTCAAACATTTAGGTTGACTGTTAAAAGACTAGAATTTGCCTAAGGATAATTTAAAAAAAGAAGCGTCTCGACGTTTGAGTAAACTTTTCACGGTGAACCTTGGCTAATCTAATAACTTGGAGAAATCATATAAAAAATGAACATGATGAATTTATCATTTGTGTCATCTGCGTATCAGCGAATGAAGATAAAGCGAAATTCTGCCTTATTTCGCTGTACGGAATCACCCTGGGGTAGTGAAACACTGTATCCCTGGGCTAAACCATATCGCTGCCTGGCTCGAAACTAATCACTAAAGAACTTGCATTTTCATTGAAGAGCTTCCTCAACTAACACAACGAAAGATGGCGCATTATAAACCATTAAGCTAAAATGATCCTCGCATTTTTTTTTCCATTTAACGGTAGGCTTAATGCTATTTTACTTGAAACTTAGCTAAATTTTTACATTGCCAAATTAAATGTTTTGTCTTGTTGAAATGGCATAAGTTTTAATTGGTTTAATTATTTTACTAATTATTTTGTTCTGATTTGTAATCGACATTTGTCCACGAATGAGCCGGTTTTCTGTGAATCTGAGAGTCACTAGAGCGTGAATGACAGCTGTCACTTTGCAAAATTTCGTTGAAATGTTGGATTTCAGTCAAAAGAGTCTCCACGAACGAACACAAGGTCGTTTAATTTAATAATTAGTCTCAACAGATGTTTATAGTATTATTTGCTTCTGATCTCAACTAATTTCCTTTTTAGGAGAGAACAAAGCAGTCCATGGAGATGTTCAGATGGGAATCTTCAGCAACGCTTCATTCAACCAGTCGTTCAAGTACGACGGTTATCCAGCTAATCCCATTCATCTTGACATGAATACAAACGTTTACGTCGAGGTAAAAGGTAGGAAAGGTATTTTTCCTAATAGAAACCCTTAAAATCACCCAAAAGGCTTTCAAATTCATCCCCTCTATGATCAAGATATAATCTGCTGGTTTATTTTCATATCTTTTGATAACTTTGCCGTGACTGTGGTGTTTCAATAGTGGTTTTATTAAACTTGTTTCAGCTACCGACAATGACCGAGTAGTCGTTCCCAAGGAGTGTCATATCAGTCCGTACAAGAACTGCACAGATCACGGCCCGTCGCTGGCGTTTCTATTGATCAACAGTTAGTAAGTGAAGCCACTCACTAGCGATACAGGGCGTTGCCCCACGTCCCATCTTACGCGATGGTTTAATTGTTTCGGTCCGTTGGATCGCAGATAGATAGGTCCTTATTTAAATCCCGGTCTGAGACCTTGTGTGGTGCTCTTGAACAGCACATTACCCTCACAGTGCCTCTCCCCACCCAAATAAATATGGTTACCGAAGCATTTTTGGGAATGGGATTGAGGAAGTGACCTGCGATGACACAAAATCTCCTTCAGGGAATAGTTATATGCTAAGTCGCTTCATGCAAAAGAATGCAAAGTAAACGGGCGCCAGCATCGATGACTAAACTCCTTTCATCATTTACAATAGGACTGACAAGGACTTTACCTACTTATCTTCACTTATTTATTGTAAATAAGGTCCCTGTTCTGAGTAACGAAGGAAAACTGGACTGAGAGGGGGAGCCCCATCTAGGCCTCGTCTCCAATCCCCTTGCTCCAGTCCAGGCACTCTTATTCAACTTGGACGAATGAATGTGAATTAAAAGCCAAATAAAAATAAATTTTTTTTTTTTTTGATTAGACAAGGAGCGATTGTTTGCGGCCTGTTTTCAGGTGCATAAATACATCAGGTAATATTGCCCTTCGTGAATTTTCAGCTGCCCGGTCACCCTTGAAAGCAACTATCTTCCCACACACGTGGGCGACGCCGTCGCCATAAGATTCAAGTTCAACCTAAGACAATATTTTGGGCTGTTCGAGCAGTTCCTTTATCTGCATTGCACAATGACAACGTGTCGAAGAAAGGAGCTGCCCTATCCAGATGTGTTCAACTGCAGAACACAAGCACAGCACTGCCCATACCAAGAGGAAACTGACATCACAGCTGGTCCCTTTGTGGTGTGGCCAGTGGGTTTTAAGCGGGATCGAAAGAACCTGGAGAGAAAAGGTAATACATGCGATAAACTAGTAAGATAGGATGTATTAAATCAGAACGGGTTTGGCTGTTCAGGGAAGCCATTCTGATAATGGACCACAGGATGGCATTGATGGAGTTGATAGAAGTCATAAAACTGAAATATATTTTCCAGCCCCCTTACCCTCCCTAGTCCTTCCCCCGTTTTTGCCCCGTCCCTCCATGCAACCTTTTCTCGCCAAAAAAAGGTTTGAACCACATGATACGCTTCCTTTAATAAATTTATATCAGGATAATTAACAATTAGACCCGTGGCCCTTGAGGGCGAAAGGTTTAATTGTTTTAGTATCACCCAACTAGTCGGACAGAAAAGGCAATAGTAAAGTTTGCAAATGCAACTTGAAAAAAATATTTATTTGGGAATAATGCGAAAGAAAGCGTCGCGCTCCATTTCGCCAATTTCGCTACCCGAGGACTATTACTAATAGTCCTCTAGTAGCGTAGCCAATTAAAATGCAGGATTTGCATTAGTCCACTAGTTGGGTGATACTAA